AGAGTAAACTCTACATGCGCCCTTTTGTGATATGACTTTTTCTCAGGTTATTTCTTTCTCATATAAAACTTTGTGTTTTAGTTTTATTTCCAAGAAGGGTAGCACTGTTAAAGTTTCAATTAGTTTTTTGTAAATAAAAAATAATAATCTTTGTTTTAACTCTTTTTTATTTTATTTGTCTAACAAAAAAATATTTGAACTTTTGGATTTCCTTTTTACTTCTTTCTCGCTTTCTCATTGTCCAAACAGAAAATACAGTATTTTCTTCTTTGAATTTCAAACAGGTTCAAAAGATTCAACACTTGTTTTTGTTTTTAAATTTTTCTCTTTCATTTTTTTTCTATTCGTTTAATTTATTTTTATAAAATATAATTTTTTTGAATATTGAATTTGAATATAAAATGATTGCTTCTATTGTTACTTTTGTAACAATTTTTATTTGATTCTTCAATAATAAATTTCTTCAATTTTTTTTGGTGCGCAAAACAAATATTTACTTGAGTCTTCATTCTTCAAATAAAATAAGTTCAATTTTTCATTTTATTATACTTATGCATTCTTAGAGCCAACAGATAAAATACAGGCGCTTAATTAGGTGAGGTTCTGGACAATTGCTTTGCTACATTACACTTTTCTGTCGTGAATAATGGTGTAAGGCAATGTATGAATTCATATATAACTTAACCCATTGTCCCATAGCTCTTAATCAATTTCTCAGCTAAAGGAGGCCAATTTATTGCTCCAAATTATCATGCACTTTGAAAACCCTACACCCAAACCCCAACACTGATTCAACCCTGAAACCGCTAGCGCTCATCTAGGCCTAAGGTGAAGTTTAAAAGCCTCAATCCAGTAGTAGTTGGTGCTAATATATTCAATTAAGCACTTGAAAGTTGGAAGGGTTTGACGTAACTGAGGCTGTTTCTGAGGGCATGTTGTGTGTACAGGAAAAAGAAAGATTTCGTTACCAATTATCATCACCATTGTTGCTCCAGTAATTATCCCTTTTTTGCTTTTGGCGTTAGACCTGTTTCTACCGAGGAAGGCAAGCGAAAAATACGATCCATCACTTTAAATATAACATAGAGACTAATTGCATAATTTGATAAGTAAAAAAATAATAACAAAAGTTAAAAATAAATAGATCATAAGCAGTGGCGGAGTTAGAGCATTTTCATAGAGGGGGTCAAACAGAAAGAAATGTTAAATAGTTAAAAAAAAACTTTATATATAATTTAA